TTTCTAAATTTCTTGACTGGGTATTTATAGAAATACTCATTTTTACTGCTATTGTGTTTCCTACTTTAATTCATATGCTCACTTTTGGTTTTTACTTTCCACTTCCAGGCCCCTTTATTATTTTTTGCAGGGCTGGTTTAGTGGTCATGAACTCCTTTAGTTTTCTTTCTTTTTTTTTTTTAATTTTTATTTATTTATGATAGTCACAGAGAGAGAGAGAGAGAGAGAGAGAGAGAGAGAGGCAGAGACACAGGCAGAGGGAGAGGCAGGCTCCATGCACCGGGAGCCCGACGCGGGATTTGATCCTGGGTCTCCAGGATCGCGCCCTGGGCCAAAGGCAGGCGCCAAGCCGCTGCGCCACCCAGGGATCCCTCCTTTAGTTTTCATGTGTGAAACTCTCTTATTCTGAATGATAGCCTTGCTGGATAGAGTATTCTTGGCTGCAGATTTTTTTTTTCTTTCAGGCTCTAGGGAACAGGAGACACTACACAACAGAACCCCATTGGACCTCTTTCTCATAAAGCCATATTTGGCTGCTATATTTTTTTTGAATATATCCTGCCCTTTTTAGCTTGAAGTTTCTGCTGAAAAACCTGCTGGCAGCCTTATGTGGTTTCTATTGTACATTAACTATCAAATCATCCTAAATTCAGAAACTGACCTGAAGACTTGCAGAACAAACTCCACAGCTAAAGGGAGACAGGAGGCCATATCAAAAAAGATAGTAAGTAAGGAGATGTGGTTCAGGGGAAAAATTGATCATGCCCCACCCCCACTCCACTCCCCCAGCCCAGGGGATTGGTCCAAATCTCAGCCAACACTACATTTCCCAACTAGGAGTTTTTGCAGGGCCTTGGTTCTGGTGGCAGTGGTGATAGATAAGCAAACCAGAGCACACCTAGTTACAATGTGCCAAATTAAGGCCAGGGACCAAATACTACCCACGACAGGCAAAGTCAGCCTCTGCAGATGACTGACTTCTTTCTTGCTGCTTTAAAAAAAAAAAATTATCACTTGATTTTGTTATTTTAATTATGTCTTGGTGCAAGTCTGCTTTTGTTGGTTTTTGTTGGGGGTTCCCTATGCCCCCTGTATCTGGATATCTGTTTTCTTCCCCATTTTAGCAGTTTTCAGCTATTACATCTTCAATTTTTTTTTCTCTCTCTCTTCTTCTGGGACTCATATAATGCAGATGCTACTATGTTTGATGGAGTCACTGAGTTCCCTAAGTCTATTTTCATTTTGCCTAATTCTTTTTTCACTCTTTTGTTCAGCTTACTTACTTTACATTACTGTCTTCTAGGTCATTGATTCATTTCTCTGCTTCTTCAAGCTTGTGTTTATTGCATCAAGTATATTTCTAATCTTTTATTGCACTCTTCATCTCTGATTCTTTGTGTTAAGGGTCACACTGATGTCTTCCATTCTTTTCTCTAGTCCAGTGAGTAACCATATGATCATTGGTTAAGTACTCTCTCAAGCATATTTCTTATATCTGTTTCATTTAGATCTCTGGCTGTGGCCTTATCCTTTTCTTTCATTGGGACAAACTTCTCTATCTTCACATTTTGTTTAAGTTTCTGTGCCTGTTTGTGTTAGGAAAGTCAGCTATGTTTCCTGTTCTTGACAGTAATAGCTTTATGAAGAAGAGGTTGTATAGTGTTGTGCTATGTAGCATCCCCTGTTCCCTAGGGCCTGGTGCTTTTGGCATTATCTCAAATATGTGCCGCATATGTTCTGCTGTTTTGTCTTGGCTGGTTTATCCTTCAAGCCAGTTATCTGCAGAGGCTGTCTTTGCCTGTCGTGGGTAGTATTTGGTCCCTGGCCTTAATTTGGCACATTGTAACTAGGTGTGCTCTGGTTTGCTTATCTATCACCACTGCCACCAGAACCAAGGCCCTGCAAAAACTCCTAGTTGGGAAATGTAGTGTTGGCTGAGATTTGGACCAATCCCTTGGGCTGGGGGAGTGGAGTGGGGGTGGGGCATGATCAATTTTTCCCGTGAACCACATCTCCTTACTTACTATCTTTTTTGATATGGCCTCCTGTCTCCCTTTAGCTGTGGAGTTTGTTCTGCAAGTCTTCAGGTCAGTTTCTGAACTTAGGATGATTTGATAGTTAACTAATTATATTTGTGGGTCAAGGCAAGCCTAATGGCCTCTTACTCTGTCTCGTCTTGGATTCCCTTTTATTTTTATTACAGGTTTTGGATTTGTGGGCATTCATAAACAACTTAGGTATATAGCAGTCTATTTCAAGTTGATGACTACTTAAGTTTGAACTCATTCTGAAAGCACTTTTTAATCTGATTCCTCACAGTGTGTCATCCTTGACGTCCTTATTTTGTCAAACACTTGACTTTTTAATAGATCTGATTTCCTGCACATGTGCTTTAGCTCCCATAATAGTTTTATAAGAGTTTAATCTACTTTTGTTTGCATTTATCTGTAAATTTTTTTCCTTTCATTATTTTCTTACTCATGATTATGGCTTATCTGCTTTTATTTTTAAAAAAGATTTTATTCTATTTTATTTAAATTTTATTTATTCATGAGAGAGAGAAAGAAAGAGACAGAGACACAGGCAAAGGGAGAAGCAAGCTCCATGCAGGGAGCCTGATGTGGGACTTGATCCTGGGTCTCCAGGATCAGGCCCTAGGCTGAAGGCAGCGCTAAACCGTTGAGCCATCCAGGCTGCCCATCTGTTAGATTTATGGGATTTCACTTGCATGTAACTTTTCTCTTTTTAGCTTTAAAATTCTCTTTATTAGTATTTTCTCTCATTTTAATTTCTATGTGCCTTGTTGTGTAATCCCTTGGGTTAGTTTGCTTGGGGTTCTCCATGCCTCCTGAATCTGGATGTTTGCTGCTTTCCCCAGATTAGGGAATTTTCAGCTATATTTCTTCAAATTTACTGCCTGCTTCTCTCTCTCACTGTTCTCCTTCTGAGATGCCTATAAAGCATGTTATTATGCTTGATGTTGCTGAAATTCTTTAATCTATTCTCATTTTTTTTTTTTTTTGCGGTTTAACTTGATTTCCATTACTACCTCTTCTATATCACTGATTCATTATGCTTCTCCAGTCTACTAATTCTCTTTTTGTTACTGAGTCCATCTGTTTCTTTTATATTTTCTATTTCTGCTTAACATCTAAGATCCTCCTAAGATAGATCCTAAGATACTACACTTTTCTCAAGTCCACTCAGTAGGTTTATGACCATTACTTTAAAATCTCTAGATGTATTGCTTGTGTCTGTTTCATTTAGCTCTTTTGCTGTGGCTTTGTACTGTTCTTTCATTCGGTCCATTCTCATTTTGTCTGTTTGTTTCTAAGTATTAGGGAGGTCAGCTATGTCTCCTCTTGAAGTGTGTGGTTATCTTCCCCTCTCCTCTAGGCAGGTGTCACTTTGGAGTGGTGCCAGTTCCTGCGGGGGTTGCTTGTGGGGCGTGTTGAGAGAGAAGCTACACTGGAGACAGCTGGCAAATGGGGTGAGTTGGATGGGGCAGATGTGCATGGGGGTAGAGCATTAGTTTTAGCAAGATAGATGGAGAGTGCTCATTCCAACAAGTGTCTGGCTATCTAGCCTGGGAGTGGGAGGAAATGGTACCTATCAACTATTTTGTTCTTGGAGAAGTCTTCTAAAGGTCCCTGCCCTTTCAGCACACATAAGATTAATAACTCTTCATTTATACTCCAGGCACTTTGCAAATTCCTGCTTCTGTGCTGTATCTCAGTCAGGTGATGGGCCTTTAAGGGCAGGGACTCAGCTTCCTATGGTCCTCAGCTTTCCTAGAGCTAAGTATGCAAATTTTAAGTAGTCTGTGTTAAGCCCTGATGGCTATAAAACTAACAGTTAAGTGCCAGTGGTTTTCAAAGACAAAATGTTAAGCAGCCTTGTCTTGCCAGTCAGTGCAGGTTCCCTGTCTGGAATGCCTGGTGTGAGGTCTAACCCTCTTCAGTCTCCATGCTTGTGGTGTCTCTCCCATTCCTGGTTAGTCTCACTGAGGGTTTGATTCTCAACCTTGTTTTCACCCCTCCTACTCTTTTAGATGTGACCTCTTCTCTACCATGAACTGTGGGAAGTCTGTTCTACTGGTCATTTTCTGAGCTACCCGTGCTCATGTGGCTGTTATCTCGGTGAGTTGGAAAAGATGAGGTTAGGATCTCCCTACTCCACCATCTTCCCCAAAGTTTTTTTTTTTTTTTTAAGATTTTATTTATTTATTCATGAGAGAGAGAGAGAAAGAGAGGCAGAGACACAGAGGGAGAAGCAGGCTCCACGCAGGAAGCCCGATGTGGGACTTGATCCCAGGTCCCCAGGACCACACCCTGGGCTGAGGCAGGCTAAACCGCTGAGCCACCCGGGCTGCCCAATGCTTTAATCTTTTAATTAATTTTTTCTGCCAGGAGTTTTATGGTTTTAAGGTCTCACATTTAAGTCTTTAATTCATCTCGAGTTTGTGTACGGTGTAAGAAAATGAGGCCTTCAGTACTATGTTGAAGTGGTGAAAGTGGACATCCTTGTCTTCCTGATCTTAAAGATTCAGTCTTTGACCAGTAGGAGATTAGCTGTGGGTTTTTAACATATGACTATATTATGTTAGGTATGGTGCCTCTAAACCTGTTATTGTTGAGTTTTTACTATGAACGGATTTGTCAAATCATTTTTTTCTGCATCTATTGAGATCAAATGGTTTTTAGCTTTTCTCAATGTGATAGAGCATGTGACTGACTTATAAATATTGAACCATACTTGCAATCACCAGAGTTAATCCCTTGATCCTGGTGAGTGGTTTTAAGAGACTGTTGAATACTGTTTGCTAATATTTTGTGGAGGATTATCCGGATACCAAAATCATATAAAGATACTACCAAAAAAAAAAAAAAATCCCACAAACAAAAAACTACAGGCCAGTATCTAAATGCAGAAATCTAACAAGATATTAGTGAGCTTCAGATATCATTTTAATCCTTTAGCCAAAAAAAATGACCACAAAATAAGCTAAAGTTAAATTTTATTTAACACACTATCAAAAATAGAATTTCACCAATATACAAAATTGAGATATTTTACATTCTTTGTACATCTTCAAAATCTTGTATTTTATACTAATAGCACATGTCAATTTGCATTAGCCATATTTTAAGGGCTCAATACCCACATTAAATTGTAGGAAAAGAAATATTGGCCTGTATCTTTCTATTATCTGGTATTACTAAGTCACTTGAGAATAAACGTGTGAATGTCTGCTCCTCCCCAAATTCTGAATTCTATAATTACAGATTTGGATCAGGATATGCTACTAGCAGGATGTAAATATTAACAAAATTAAAGTTATACATCTCTGATACAAGAAAAATGGCAATAAAATAGTTGCCACATGAAGTTCATTTCAACCATTCATCCATTTATAGAGATTAACACAGAATAAGTGTTATTAGTAACACTGCATAGTCAATAACAGTGAATAGTCTTTTAGTACTTACCAGAATTACTCATTTTCTGTATTTCCTTATGTGTACACATCTGTTTCTCTTATGCCATTCCATAAGAGAACGAACTACATCTTCCTAGTCTGCCATTATATGTCTTTTCCTTAGAGGTATTACACACAGTGATGCATAGGTACTCTTACATCAATGAACATGGCCATGCATTGATAATCAGCCTGAACCAGCTTGCCATTACTCAATGTTTTCTAGTAGTTAAGAAAGACATAGTCCATATATTCTCAGTGAAATTTTCTCTTACACAGTTTTTAGTATTTAACCTAATTATTATAGAGTTGAGAAATTCCCCCACTAGGGACAAATGGTATTTATCATGTCTTAATTAGACTGTGCTCCTCCAAACACAGCAAAAGCAGACAAGTACAAGAGAAGAGCCTTCTCTACCAACCTCTTAGGGAAAAAAAGAGAACATGCATTTGGAAGGAAAGAATAGTGAACAATGTTTCCTACTACAGACAATAGTGGCATGGAACTCCTTTGGCAAAACCTTCTAAGTTGAACCACAGAAACACTGTAATAGCCAACAAAATCTAAAAATCACAGGTTATATTATGACTACAGGGCAAACCTATTTAAAAAACAAACTGAAGCTCAAACTCATTCTTCAATGATATGAATAATACTATAATACAAAGTCCTTTTGCCAGTCTTCAGAGTATAGAAATAATTTTATTTAGAATGTAAAAACGGGAAAAATGCAAGACTTGAGAGAGCAGCTCTTTTTTATTTTGTATACAATAAAATGGCAGTTTAATAATATTGGTATTTCCCACAGTAATCGTCACTTTAATAACTTAAGCACCAAAAACTTCTAATCGAATCTTTCCTGTTTTGTAGACTACTGGAATACACAAACATCTCCTACCATTTTGACATTTATTCATCTGTTGTATCTTAATTTTTAAAAAACAATATTTAAAATGCACTAAAGAAAATTACTTTCCCCTTTTCTTTTTAGGTGAATGTTCCAAAAGTGGGGTAAATTCAGCTTCCTCACTGTATTTTCTTTTCTTTTTTTTCTTTTTATGGTCACTCTGGTAACCACTGGAGTCACTGCCTTGGAAAACAGGTTCCTGGTCCTGATCTTGCTGCTGCAGCTGCTGCTGCTGCTGCTGCTTCTTCTTCTTCTTCTTCTTCGGCTCATCCTTCCATAGGCCATTCATATTATCAATCTGCAGGTCTATCTCTTTCTTCATTGTGGCATCTGTAACATCAGCTAGCTCTCTGTTATCACTCTCCACTTCATAGGACTCTGGGTCTTTCTTCTTCTTTTTCTTCTTGAGAGGTTTTTCAATAATTTCTTCAGTGCTAGTTTCTGTTCTTTCTTCAGGAACTGCAGAGCACTTGGTTTGTAAACTAAATTGACAGTTGAAAAAATTTACAGAGCAATAAACAAAAAGAATAAAATGAGAAAGACTATCCCAATTTTTTTCTAAAAAATGACAGCAGTACAAGATACAGAAGTATGGCATAAATTTGAAGTATTCTATCCTGTTATCCCTCACCCATTAAAATGTCTGGGAAAGGTTAAAATTTTTCCAAAGTACTTCTTCCACACTGTTTTCACACAAAAAAAATGACATAAATTTTATCAAAATGTAGCTTCTAAATTTTGGTTTGGTTCAGAAAAAATTGGTGACAATAAACATCACAATACCCAGGCTTATTAGCTAAACAACTGATGAGTGATAAAATATATACTTCCACTATCTATGAAATTAATGGAGTTTCCTTCTACTCTCACAATCCTTGTTTCATTTTTTTCCCTTACCCTTGCTTGAAGCAATAATACCTTCAAAGCTATGAGTTAACACTAAAATAAAAATAGTTATCAGTGGAACTCTGGAACTGCAAAGTCCTATACAGTAATAATATCTACATATAAATAAGTAATTTCAGCAAGATAACTTCGATATCACAGATGCTGCACATGTTTCTATCATTGCAGAAAGTTCTACTGCACAACTGCTCTAAAACTGTAACCCATACTCTTGTTAATTATCAAGGTAAAATCTAAAAAAGGAATTAACACCAGCAGTATTCCCAAAGCTTTTTTCTTTCCCCTACACTCCATTAAACTTGGCTCCCATGGAAACAAACTCAAGATGAGAGTAATTATTCTAAGAATTCAATATCAAAAAATACAGAACTTACCTACCTGGCATAATGACAATAGTCAAATTTGTGTTTCAACTGTGAAAATGCTAAAAATTAACTAGAAAAGTTAAATTTAGTTAAAAATTAACTAGAAAATATTCATAAGACTGAGTTTTAGTAAAATACAGAACAGTTAGCTAGATGTGTAGAGATTTAGAATATTCAATGCATTGTCTTAACACTTTATTTTTTTTTAAATTTTTTTTATTTATGATAGTCACAGAGAGAGAGAGAGAGAGAGGCAGAGACACAGGCAGAGGGAGAAGTAGGCTCCATGCACCGGGAGCCCGACATGGGATTCGATCCCGGGTCTCCAGGATCGCGCCCTGGGCCAAAGGCAGGCGCCAAACCTCTGTGCCACCCAGGGATCCCGTCTTAACACTTTAGATTCCTATTTGCACTGACTTTATGGTTAGGAAGCATGAATACCCTAATAATTTTTTTTTTTTTTTAAAGAGGGACTTATGTTCTCTAAATTGAAAATTAAACAAATGACTAAGTATCAAAATTAAAATAATGTGATTAGGAACTGACCTAGTGATATTCAACTTTCCCCGAATGCAGAATACTCCAGCAGCATCTGAGTCCAAACGAAATACTTCAAATTCTAGTTCATCACCTACATTTATCTCCAGGATCTGCCACTGTTCAGGAGACATCTGCTCAGGTTTAGGAATGGAGGCATTGAAACACCCATGTACTAAACAGCCAATGTGGCTAGATGACACTTTATTAACTATACCCTGGGAAGAAAGAGGAAAAAAAAAAAGTGTAACATCAAGAAATCCAGAGTTAAAAGGTAAATAAAACTTTATAAGCTTCAAGTTGATCTTCAAAGAGAAAACACCAAAATATGGTATAATATGACATGGAAAAAATTTTTTGATTAAAACTTACATATTATACTAAACCATCATTTTAAAACACTGTAGAGATTTGAGAAAAGTTCAACTTTACTAAGTAATTGCATATCAATTGCCTAACTGGATAAACAACTACTCTTCTCACCCCCCCAATAAAAACAACTCCTTTGCTCCTACTACAGGATTCTCTGGTGAGTAAGTAGAGTATAACCATAATGAAACCAAGCAGAAAATACTCTTTGACATAACCTAAATGTGAAAAGACTTTAAGGCAGGAAGCCTATGCTCTCTATAATAACTAGGAACCACAATATAGTTCTATAAACAGTCTGAATTTCAAAACTTAGAGTACATTCTTTAACAATTAACTTTAGCATGATGTAAGCACTTATTAAAAGACAGCTTAGCCTTCATATGTAGATCTTGAGCATGGCTATTTTGACTGAATCACAAAATATTTTGGGAAGCTTTAAAAAGTATGTGCTATATGATTTTAAACTTAAAATATGAAAGTTTCAAAAAAAAAAAAAGCCTTAGTTTTCTTTTCTTCCCCTAGGAATCAATGTATATAATGTATATAAATTAACATCTGAAATGTTTAAGTCATTTATTTTAAATTTTAAACAAAACTGTATACATGTTAGTGTTGCAACTCCTTATACACAAAAAACTCATTGGCTGTCATTATTAGGAGTCTGGTGTTCCCAATGGTACATTCTGGGTGGTATGGACAAACTGTACTGCATCTATACAATGAGTACTATTCAGTAATAAAAAAATAACTCTCAAGCCATGAAAAGACATGGAGGAATTCTAAATGCATACTGCTAAGTGAAAGAAGGCAAGCTGAAAGGCTACATACAATATGATTCCAACTATATGACATTCTGGAGAGGGTAAACCATAGAGACCAGACAGTAAAAAAGATCAATAGTTGCCAGGTTTCACGAGGATGGAAGGAAGGTGAGGGGTGAATATGTAAAATAGAGAATTCTGAGAGCAGTACCCAATTATTCTACAGGATACAGTAAAGGGAACACAGGACACAGGTCATTATGTTGTACTTACATTCCCTGGGTTTTAGAATGTACAACAGGAAAAACTAATTCTAAACCCTGAAAATAATAATGTATCAATATCAGCTTAAGAACTGTAACAAATGTTATCACACTAATGTAAGATGTCAACAATAGGAGCAACTGTGTTTGTGTATGCTGGGGTGGAGAAGTGAAGAGAGGTATTATTTTCCACTCATTTTTTCTGTAAATCTAAAACTGCTATAAAACAATAAAGCTTATCAATTAAGGAAATAATAGGAAAACGAACATCTTTTCAATACAGGGTTCTAGAACTACTGAATAACCATATGAATAAGAAAATATATCTCAAGGACCTACTTCTTATTACACACAAAGATTAAAGACTTATCATAGATCTAAATGACAAAGCTAAAACTAAAAAATTCTATAAGCTTATAAAAAGTATCTTCACAATCCAGCAGTAGGCAAGTTTCTTACGTAGGATCCAAAAAGCAACAACCAAAAAAATAAGACAAACTGATCATCAATATTAAAAACTTCTGTTTATGGAATGATACCATTAAAAAGAGACAAGTTTACTGACTGGAGTAAAATATTAACAAATGATCTGAAAAGGATCTGTAGGAAGGCTGCAAACAGTACTATACTTCAATAATACAAAAACCCAATTAAAAAGGAGTAAAGCACTTAAATAGGCCCCTTACTGAAACACATGAAAAAGAGCTCAAGAGAAATGCAAATTAAAACCGTGATGGGAAACTCGTATATGCCCATCAGTAAACTTAAAAGAGTGACAAAACCAAATGATGGCAAGGATGCAAAGCAACTTATAGTGCTGAATGGGAAATTTGCCTGTTTTTCATAAAGTTAAACACATCTACTCTGTGACCTAGCATTCTACTTCTAGTTTTTACCTAAGAGAAATGAAAATGTACATTCACAGCTTTATTCATAATAGCTCCATAATGGAAACAGCCCAAATGTCTATCGATGAAGACAGGCAATTAAATTATACATTCATGCAACTGAATACCATGAACAACAAAAAGAAACCATTACAACAAACAGCATGCATGAAATGCAAAACAAACAAACATGTTGAGCAAAAGAGGTCAGATTTTCAAACACTGTGTAATGAAAAATTCCATTAACATGAAATTTTAGAATAAACAAAACTACTTTCACAATAAATGTAATCAGAACAGTGGTTGTATTCTGGAATGGAGAGAGGACTGACCAGGAAAGGGCATAAGCATCTTTCTGAAATAGAACAGAATACATGCTCTCACCAGAATTTATTGAACTGTACACTATGATCTGTGCATTCTGTTGTATTTAAATTAGATCTCATTTTATTGTATGTAAATTATACTTCATATTAAAAAAAAACTGAACACACTGTCCAAATGTATTTGAAGATTGGATCTTATTGTAGGGAATAGAGTAAAAGGATTGATTTCTTTTTTCATTTCATATTTTCTGTATAGTGTGGTACTTCCATTTATACATTTACAGTAACTTATACAAAAATTCCTACACTTAACTGTTACCAGCTTTAAGTACAAATCTACTGCCAACTTTAGAAGTATAGAGGCTGGTTGTAGGATCCCAGCTGGTCATGCCCAGGATGCTCTACCAGTTTAACTTGATTCTGAAAAGCTTTTTTAAATTATTAATGCCTTACAGATTTGACAGTAAAATTTTACCTGTGTTTTTTATTAGCAATAAAGGGTTAGTTAACAGTTCTTAAATGATTACGCAATTCCTACATAATTTTTTGTTAAAGGAAAAAATAGACACGTGTATATATATTCTTATGTGTATATATATATCAATGTATACATGCAGAACTGGTAGAAGAGAGGCTAGTGCAGAACATATGAGGATATACTTCAGCTTCTTTTGAAAAACTACAAGACCTATCCCACAGGGCCTTTATCATATGGCACGTTATGGGTGCTCTAACCTCATTCTTCATTCACTTTCATTACCTGCCTGGTCCTGCAACCATTTGAATTTTCAACTCCTATTTGATATAAAGGATTCGAACAGGGTAGTAGTATGAAGGAATTATTGTGTATAACTGAGAAATTATGAAATAATTTTTTTTTTCTTACTGCCTAAGATCATTCTGGTGCTATCCAAAGAAAAGAATAAATTCTATGAGACACATCTGCATACACATGTGAGTTTGAGAAGAATGGAATTTAAAAATTTACCAAGATTAAATGGATAGTAATTTTTTTTCTTTTAAAAATAATTTTCAGGAAACCACAACAGCAATCCATTTGCTTCCCAAATCTCTTAAGATTTTCCAAATTACATAATTATACAATTAGAGAAAGCATAAAAAAGTGTATGTATAAATACATACCATAAGCTTTTTCCCCGGTTCAGGACAGAAAATAACAAAATCTGCTTCGATGTTAAGATGAATGTGTCCTTGATCATCATAAATATCTCCCAGTTCACCCACTACTTTGATGTTATCATATGCAATGGGGACACCTGAAAGGCTATTAGAAAAGAAAAAAAATTTATTTTTATCTTCTTTTAAACTAGGCCATAATTATTAAATATTCAGAGTCCAAAAATTATATGACTCTTAAATATACTCACGCATGCCAAAACACAATAGCATATGATTAATCCATAATAACTTGAGTAATTTAATTTCACCAAAAGGTTCCAATATATTGACTAAATAAAAAAATGATTGTTCAAGACAGGTACCCAGAAACAAAATGTCCAATTATTCATGAGCAGTAGGTTGACCTATTAGAATTCTAGTCATGCTAGAATGTGGGGGGGGGGGGGAGACTTGAATGAAAAATGTCTCTGAGTATAACCAAATCAAGACAAATTTTGGTATTATCTACCATTACTGAATTTCTGTACTGGATGGCCTAAAGTAAGAGAATTACTAGAATCATAGGTCAAGCCCCTGAATATTAAAGCCAATGACTTAGAGAAAAATCCTCAAACTGTATGTAACAAATAGTAATGTTAATAAATGAAATATATAGTTATAATTATTAAGAACCCATTTTGCCAAAAAAAAAAAAAAAAGAACCCATTTTGTCACTTTAGTCTACATAGGGGACAGGATTAGGGGGTAACTACTATTTGAAAATGTCATTTCCAAGTACTTAACAAATTTTAATTACTAAGGAGGCAGACCTGGTGGCTTCACTACCACACCTACTACATGATCAAGAAAACATCCTAGACTCAGCAAGGCAAGGATGAAATCACTCCTCCTCCACTCTTAGAAGATTCCATGGCACAGCATCATCACTGAACTTAATCTCTTTTTATTAACTATCTGCAAATATGTTTGCATTCCACACACTACTAGAGTAGTGGCCCTTGAGAGCCCAGAACATTTTTGTTGAACTCTACTAAATTTCTAAAACTATTCACATGGCATAAGAGAAAGAATTTATCCCTAATAGCTGCTGCTTAAATAAAACAGCCAGGAGCCACTGGAAAGGAACTTTAATAACTATCAAATCAAAAAGACCAAAAACTCAAGAGATTTATTCCAGAAAGCATTTTTTTGAACTGTTAGTGTCTGTTTGTGTTTTCCCAAGCAGGAACTACACCATCACAGAAAATCCAGAAGTCTACATGACCTCTGAGGGAACAAACTGATTTATAAATAGATGGACACAGAATCTAATTCTACTGTATACACACACACTTTATATATGTGTGTGTATATCACACACACACACACACACACACACACACACACATACATATATCAGTGTACAGGCATGTTTCCACGGTTTCAATATACATTAAAATTTCCAGGAATGTAGTAGCAAATTCAAGAGTAGTAGGGAATTTTACTGAGAACTGCTCATCACTTCAGAAAAGCATTTCACCGATGGAGATAATGTATGTCTTCTCTAAGTTGTCAACTCAAAACCCCTGCATCAATCCACCCTTATATAATGGAGACATTCACAATTCTTGTGTCAGTGCAGAAGTCATCAAACTACTTCAACTCTTCCTAGGTAGTCATGATTAAGCATTATCACATTGAAATATAATTTATTGTATTGTGTAGGAGCACTTACGAATTCTTTTTTCAATTATGTAGGTAAGTTATGTTACCTTTAAGTTTCAATTCACAGTAAAGATGTACTTTCGTGATAGTAAAGATAGTATTGCAAAATATTTACTCTAAGAGATGTATTGGGTTCTGTAGGGTTCAAAATTGATAATTAGGGAATGTGACCATAGAGCCTAAACCCAAAAGGATTTGTGTAAATCCATCAAACCTTTGAGAAACCCTTCACTAGACATCTCAATTTTTTTTCTAAATAAAATACCAAAAATATTGATTACTACACATAAATTTATCTACTTTTGTCTTATTAAAGAGAAATTAAAGATAAATTTAGATCTGTTCATAAACATGTTTTATGCTTACTGAAAGATCATACCATAGAGGAGGACAGACCTTGGGAGGAAAGAACACTGGGCGCAGAGAGGGAAGAGAAGACCTAGCCCCCAGTACCCCGGGTTGGGGGACTGCAGTTAAAAGACAAATCCCCGTAACATTTGGCTTTGAAAAACAGAGGGCTTCTCCAGTTTTGTTAACAATCAACAGGGCTTAACACCAAGAACTTTAAAAATCAGCAGGTCCAATACATTAAGAGGCAAGAGGGAGATAGAAAACTTGACTCCCTGCCCTTAAAGAAACTGCACAACAGCCCTGCTTGAGATACAGCACAGAAGCAGCAGATCGAAAAATGCCTGGGGTATACAGGAAGGAGATTTATTTAATAATCTCAGAGCATGTACTGGAGATGCAGGGAACTTTGGGAGATTTCACCAAGAACAAAAGACCTGGTGGGTGCTATTTCCCTCCCCAGCACCAGCCCCCAGACTGACTACATAGATAGCTGCAGGGTCCAGCACAATCATCTCCACCTATCCACCTAGCTTGCCGAAAGCATGCCCCAGCCACATACTTAATGTGGACCCACCCCCTTCAACTGTCTACAGGAGTATTCCCAGGCTGCTTCAGCTCCCTTCTCACGGGAGACCAGTGTATAAAAGACCTTGCTGGCACCATGTGCAGGACACCCAGCTTCTCTGTTCTCCTGAAGATCTTGGCTGAAGCCCATCCAAAGTAGTGCCGCACGCCTTGCGCCTTATGCGTGTAGCCCCCACAGGGGCCAGCAGCACTCCAAAGTGACACTTGCTCCTGAGAGAGGAAAAATACCAACAGCACACACCAGTCCAGATGCAGCACCCTGCCCCCAATTAGTGGACTGGGATTAGAAATCTGGTCTAACTGCAGACTCAGCCCACCAATAAAAGTTTCTCAGGTGACCACAGAGGGAAAGCACCCTTGAGTTTGGTGCTACCATGGCTCTGGCAAAAGACTGCTCTCGCTCATTTCAAGCCCATGGTGGACCAAGATTGGTCCACTAACAACACAAGGACCAAACCCTGCCCACACAGGCAAAAAGAGCCACTGCAGATGACTGGACTGAAGGGAAACATGGCTCAGCCACAAAAGCAGTACACATGCAACACACATAAGAGACACCCCTGCAGTGCCAGGTTCTGATGAACAGGAGACACTGCAATGCAGGCAGGGAATTACAAGAGCTCTTGTTCATACAGGCATTACTTTCCAGATCAGAGGACTTTCTTAATACATAGAAACAGATGCAGAATTAAAAAATGAGAAGGGATGAAAGAACAGTATAAATTCACAGGAAGAGTGCTAAACGAAATAGGATAAGTAATATGCCTGATAGAGAAATTAATGATCATAAAGATGATCACTGGATTTGAGAAGAGTGGAGGACATCAGTGAGATCTTCAACAAAGAGACAGAAAACATAAAAAAGAAACACTTAGATACGAAGAACTCAATAGATGAAATTAAAAAATACACTAGAGAAAATAAATAACAGCTCAAGGATGCAGAAGAATCAATCAGTGACCTAGAGGAAAGAATAATGGAAAGCAATCAAGATGAACAGGAGAGAGAAATGAATAACAAAAAAAAAAAAAATGAAAAGAGATTAAAGGAACTCAGGACACTATCAAATATAATAACATTTGTATTATAAGGTTACCAGAAGGAAGAGACAAAAGGGAGCAGAAAATGTATTTGAAGAAATAAGAGTCGAAAAATTCCTGAGTCTGGAGAAGGAAACAGACATCCAGATCCCCTAATAAAAGCAACCTGAAGATGTCCACACTAAGAAACACGTTAATTAAAATGGCAAAAAAAAAAGGGGGGGGGAGGTTATAAAGAATTTTAAAAGCAGCAAGAAAAAAGAAAACAGTTTCATAAAGGAGACTCAATAAGACTATCAGTGGATTTTTCAGCAAGAATACTGCAGGTCAAAAGGGAGTAGCCTGATATATTCAAAGAAAAAAGCCAGTAACTAGGATACTCTATCCATCAAGGTCATCGTTCAGAATAGGAGAGCTAAAGGGTTTCTCAAACAAAAGTTAAAGGATCTCATCACCACTAAACATAATAACAAACATAAACGAAGTAATCAATAATAATACAATAATAGTAGAGGACTTTAATACCCCACCATCATCAATGGATAAATTATCCAAACAGAAAATCAACAAGAAAACAGTGTCTCTGAATGACACATTGGAACAGATGGATCTAACAGATATATACAGAACATACCATCCTAAACAGGAAATACACATTCTTTTCAAGTGCACACAGGATATCTTCTCCAAGACAGATCATATGTTACCCTACAAAGCAAGTCTCAACAAATTAAAAAAGACTGAAGTCATACTATGCATCTTTTCCAAATTTAATGCTAACAAAGTAGAAATCAACCACGAGAAAGAATCTTAAAAACCACAATTACATGAAGTAACATGATACTAAACTGTGAATGTGTCAGCCAAAAAATCAAGAGGAAATAAAGAATTACATGAAGACAAATGAAAATACAGCAGTCCAAAATGTTTTTTGAGATGCAATATAAGCTATTCTAAGAAGGAACGTTAAAACACTACAGGCCTACCTCAAGAAATGAGAAGAATTTCAAACTAACCTTACAAACCCAAAGGAGCTAGAAAAAGAAAACCCAAAACAAGTAGCAGGAAGAAATAATCAAGATTAGAGCAGAAATAAAAGAGAAACTAAAAAACAATAGAACAGATCAATGAAACCAGGACCTGATTCACTGAAAGGATTAACAAAATTGATAAACTGATCAAAAGAGAAAGAGAAAATAAACAAAATCAGAATTGAAAGAGAAAGCAATAATCAACATCAAAGAAATACAAAAAGCATTTTAAGACATTAAAAACTATATACCAACAAATTGGATGGACATCCTAGAAGAACTGGTTACTTTCTAGAAACCTATCACCGCCCAAAACTAAATAAGAAATAGAAAATTTGAACAGACTGATTGCCAACAATGAAATTGAATGAATAACCTTAAAACTCCCAACAAACAACAGTCCAGGACTAAGTGACTTCACAGGTAAATTTAAA